AGAGAGATAGAGAGCTAGAAACGTCAATGAGAGAGTAACATCGACCAGCTGCCTCTTGCACACCCCCTACCGGGGATATGCCCGCAACCAAGGTACATGCCCTTGACCGGAATCGAACCTTATTATGCACCAGACATGGCCTGCTGGTCCCAGGCTTTACATGTCTGGTGCATAATAAGGTCCTTTCAATCCGCAGACCGACACTCTACCACTGAGCCAAACTAGTTTCGGCTGCACAACATTTTTCAATCTCCCATTCCACTTGAATCACCCGGTTTTGGTGCTTACACACTCTGACAATAGGTGTAAGGTGACAAATAAACTTCCGTTTTGGAGAACAGCTCTGTTTTCAATAAAAAGCATTTATGTAAACTCTATATAGGCAGTCAACACACGGTAAGGCACAGGTGTGTCACATCTCAACCACAGATCTTTGCAGAGGAGAGGAAAATAGTATCTCCCAGTGCTGAAGCTGAGCGAAAAAAAGCACCTAGAGTTACCTGCCTGGGTCTAAGTTATGTCTCAAATGTCACCAAATCACAAATGAGGAAGAGAGAGAATTAAGTCATATTAAAATATGTATGTAGGACATCTTTGTTGCAGGAGGGAAATAACGCATTTATATACAGTCCATACATTTGATCATTTAACTTGAAATATACATGATGACCTTTGAGGCAATGAAAATATATTCCCTACTCTTTTCATTGCTTGCGATCTGCTATAATCATGATTACAGCATAGAAGAATTTAAAATTAATTAATGCATTTGTGTTCATTGCTATTATTCTTCTCAAAGATAATGTATAAAGTCAGATCATTGATCCTCTATGAGTTTTTAAAATAAAAAGTATTAAGTCAGTAAGTATTAAGTCATTTGATGGTTTCCTTTGATAAAGTGAATTCAGCAAAAAACAAAAACCTTAGACCCTTTGTTTCATTTTAAAATATTTAAAGTCTTCTCTGCTCATAAGGTATCTAAACTCAGGCTACACAAACACAGCATAGAAAAAATTGCCTAGATCCTATTTCCCAAAATGCGGCCCATGCACCAGCAGTGTCTGCATCACTTGGATGTTAGAATCTACTCCCCAGACCCACTGAGTCAGAATCTGCCTTCTGAACAAGATCCCCCGGTGATACACATAAACCTTAATGTTTGAGAGCCACTGTTTGGGGAGATTAGGTCAGCCTCAGACCTGCAAATGACCCAGCCGTTTAAAAATTAGGAACTTGATACAGATCTTGCTATGCGTTTATCTGAAATAAACATCATTTATTCACAGATACAGATATGAAAAACAGAAGCTGAAGGTTCATTCTCAAGAATATCTTAAAACAGTCCTTAAGACATTAAGCAGTAGGATCTCATAAAAAATGGTTTAAATACAATGAGTTCACAGTTCTCCCATGTGTATTTATTTTTTATCATTTAAATGCTGGCATTAAGCTCTACCGTCTCGTGAATACCTAAGGAAAGTAGACCCTTCTGCAATCCGTACAACTATCCTTAGACGCCTAGAAGCCCTAATGTTTATGATGCAAATTTTGTAAAGAGAAAGAGGTTAGTGTCCAATGAGACCAGACAAGAATCCTCAGCACATATGCACAATTAGGCTATGAAACATACCTGTCAAGGTATGCATTTTATCATTTCAAAAACACTATGGGCCCAGCCAGTGTGGCTCAGTGGCTGAGTATATTGATAGAACTATGAACTAGGAGGTCATGGGCATATGCCAGGGCTGCGGGCTCAATCCCTGGTAGGAGGTGTGTAGGAGGCAGCCGATCAATGATTCTAATCATTGATATTTCTTTCTACCTCTCTCTCCCTCTTCCTTCTTCTCTGAAATCAATAAAAATATACTTTAAAAGAACAAACAAACACCACTATGGTATTCATTTCCTGGTTTCATCTTAGGGAATGAAATATGACTCTACCCAGTTCTGAATTCTGAAACTACCCTCCATTATCAAAATGTTGTATATTTTCCCCAACACCTTTTAAAAGGAGCAGAAACTCAATGAGGAAGTCAGCACAGTGAGCCAGCTGTATCATTTGGTTATAAAATGAAGTCTGAAACCGTGGACGAGTGTTTCATGTCATGTGCTTACAAAGAAAACTTTATTATCAACTGCAGTGTTACTGTCACTGGGGCCACTCTGCAAATATATATTTTCTGGTAGAAGAGGAAAGGAACAGTAGAGAATACAGTTTTCTATGCATCCACCCAGCACTCAGCACGGTGCTGGTGGTTACATGTTACATCCACTACAACTGGAGTGAGAGTTATGGCAATACAGCCAAACTAATGCAAACTACCTATTTTAAAAATAAGACTACGGTGAGTCAAGTGCAAACTGGGACTTCAAACTGCCTTTTCATAAGACGTGGACATTGGAGGGAAGGGTTGGCACTGGGCAGTGGGTATAAATGATAGGTTCAAGCATACTGTGAGGAGCAGCTATGTCTGCTCTTGGATGGCTCAGAGGCCTCAGGTCAAAACAAATGAATGAGTGAGATGTTAGGAAAATGTCCAAATGTGGCTCCTGGGATACTGCTGATGTTAGTCTGATGTTTTAGCAATGCAGTATGGTATTTCTAAATGAAGCTAGTTAGGATAGGATTTATTAAGGCACAAAATATAAAATAGACACAACCATACTGTTATCTAAAACAAAACAAAGCAGGTAAAGGTATTTTATCAGGAAAGAATGGAATGATTGGTGTGGCACCCTTGAGAAAGCCCCACAGGCAAAGCTGTAAAGCCCTAAGGTCACTCTTCCTTACTGACTCGTGAAACTAAAGGGAAATTTGCCTTTTTAAATAAATGTAGCAGAAACTGGCTTGGCTCAGTGGATAGAGCGTTGGCCTGCGGACTGAAAGGTCCCAGGTTCGATTCTGGTCAAGGGCATGTACCTTGGTTGTGGGCACATCCCCAGTAGGGGGTATGCAAGAGGCAGCTGATCGATGTTTCTAACTCTCTATCCCTCTCTCTTCCTCTCTGTGAAAAATCAATAAAATATTTTTAAAAAATAAATAAATGTAGACATTATCAACAACACAAGAGAGTGTACAGTTCTGTTATCTTAGTCTTTGCAGATCTTAGGCATTTTGTATAGTTCTATCTTTGTCTGTCTTTAAAGAACTTTTATACACAAACATCCCCAGTTCAGCTTATTTGGTAATTTGTATAGATCAAGCTCCCCCAGCAATATCATCATAACTCCTCCTAAAAATGTGACAGCGAAGGCCCCCGCCTTTTCTCACTATCACCTCCTCTTCTCAGAAATGAAGTGTTTGCACTGTAAACTGTCCTTTCACTTTTTCCTCCTAACCTTGTCATTGAATTCATTTCTCTAAGACCCTCCCTTGTTCTTTAATCTTATCTCTTTCTGACTTCCTGCAAACTCACTAAGGTGACCTAAACGGCTGGCAATAATTCCTTCCCCTTATCAAGAAGTAAATAAAATTATCTCATAGCACAAACAAAATGAAATCAAGTTATCAATGCTGGATAAAAAGTTCAACAGACCGGAATCGAACCCGGGACCCTTCAGTCCGCAGGCCAACACTCTATCCACTGAGCCACACCAGCCACAATAGTACTGTCCTTTCTCCAGTAGTGATTAATCTCTAGTGGCTGCTCCTTCCAGGGGTCCTTCACCTTAAAAAGGAAGACTCTACACATCAAGGGTCTCACCTGTGTTGTGTACACTGGGTGGATCCAAGATGCCTGCAGCCTATGGAGAAGTAGTTAAGAAAGCAGATCCAGCCTGGCCAGTGTGGCTCAGTGGTTGAGCATCCAAACTCATCACCGCCTGTTGACCTCTTTCCTTCTCTCACTTTTACCAACTTCCCAGATACCCTTCCTCATTAACTCAAGTGTTGAGCACAGAGCTCGCATTCTGCTTTTCATAGTATTTGATTTCTATTGGCCCATTTTCATCGTGATTTTAACAAGCTCAAATCCCTCCTAGCCATCAACGTAAAAAGTACATTCTACCTTCATCTGTGATACATTTATCAGGCTATGCACAGAACAAACCTTTTTTAAGATGAAGATACAATCATGTGATTCATGACTCAAATGCCAGCAAGTCTCCTCACTGAGTATCTGATGAAATCTCAATCTTCGTCATATTAGTACATGTCCTCCATGACTGCCTGCCTATTTTCTGACAACAGGACGTGTTCTCCTTCCTTACAAGCACGCTGCTCTCTCCCGCCCTTGAACTTGCTGAGGTCCCCAGGACTTCGTCCTGTTCTCATAACCCACTTGCTAGTCCTTCAAGCACCAGGTTAAATGACATCTCGGCAGGGAAAGAGTCCCCCCCCCTACCACCACCACCCCCCCCCCCCCCCCCCCGCCTTCCCCAACCTGGCAAATTGATTTCTCCCTCCTTTCTCCAAAACCTGTTCTACGGGGTACATTGCCTTTCCCATGTTTTACCGAATTCATCATCATTATATTTATCCATCTTTCTTTGCATTCACACCTCAGAGACCCCCAGACATTTTAGTGGCCCGATTAGCCTGGAAAACAGCTTTTCAGAATATGGGAGATACTGCCAATAAGCCAATTCAACATTATTCTCAGAATCTCGCTCACATTTTTCCCAACTGTCCTACTCCAATTTCTGAAACGATTTCCACGCATACTGAACACATTCAAAGGCACGGAACTAGAGAAACTGCATTTTTTTTGTTGTTGTTGTTGTTATCCTATATCCTTAATACTTCGCAGAGGCTGCTTGTTCAAAGTCAACTTAGCACTCTTTCCAAATAGAGTTAAACAGAATTTCTTTAAATTCCAAAGATCTGTTTGTCATCAGCCAGTCATTCTGACTCCAAGTCCTCTGAACTTAAAGTGAAGGTAAAATGATATTCCAACAGCTACAGGGCATCAGAGGAGAAGATAATATATTTAAAGAGACAGCCCTGGCTTATCAAGGAACTCAAGCAACTCCACAACAGAAAAGTACATGGAGGCACTTACGCAGGTCTCCGAAGGCGCCCTTGGTCACTTTGGTGGCACGTAATACCACTACCGTGAACTTGTGGGAGTACTGGTGCTCCACCTGGAAAGAAAACGAGAGTAAGTTAAAAATAAACTTCCAATAGAGAATCCAAGTGAACTGGTCTTGTTGTTTCCTTGAGACTAATTTGAAAATATTCCAGTTGAGAGGAAGTCATGCGCATACCAGGAACATTCTTTGATCCGCGGGCTGTTCCTTTTTGGATTCTCTCCTCTCTCCCATCACAGAATCAGTGAGGTGCTGGGATCATGTTTCTCAAGTGTCGCTATCGCCGGACTACCTAGGACTTCTCTGCTGTCAGGTTTACCGAGCGCTCGGGGAAAAATGTAAATCAGGACTGCAGCTTCTAGAGCACAATCAGGCTTTGTACTGGATGACTAAGAAGCCCTGCCTTAGAAAAGCAAGGTGTTTGCATTATTTAGGTTTGTTTGTTTTCATCGTTACTGATGAATTAAGGTCCTGTTGGGCAAGACATTTCCAGAGCGGGTTTTCAAAATCCTTTGGACCGAAGGCAATAGCAGGTAACTGCTTCCATGAAATGTAATGCATTTGTCACAAACCACTTGCTGATGTGAAGAGTTTCTTTTGCCTAATAGTTTGCATGCACATCATAAATGTTAGTAGGTAGGAGACTTCATTAAATACCTAACTAGAAGTCAGTTATTAAGTAACTCCGTCGAACAAAACAGAATGGGGAAACAGGGGCTCACAAAGTGCTCTGAGCAACAAAAGAGATTCTGAGTCTTTATTTAAAGCTCAAGCGTTTTTGTTTAATCTTAAAAGTGGCCCACATTTATAAGCTACTCCTACCATTCTTTAACAGAATTGCTTAACTGGTTAAAAGTCCATAATGATTAAAAAGAAGCTAAAATACTAATAACACTGAGAAGTAAATTAACAATAGTCTAAAAGCAAACAGGCATAAAATATTATAAAAACAAGTTATAAGACCAGCATTAGTAGAATCAAAAGTTACACATCCTTCAACACTTTCTGAAGATATCACTCTATCAATATAATAGTTAATATCCAGATTATTAATATAACCAAAAGGCAGAGAATTCCCTCTGTGAAGCCAAAGTTTTATGTTACATAGTGCTTAGAGGGAAATTTATAGTATTAAATAAAATATATCACATATGTCGTATATAGGGTATCCCTAAAAATATATGCACATTTTGAGTAACTATTAATTCCAATGGGTTAAACCTGAAAAGAAAAAAAACATTGATCAAGCTATCAGCTTTAAGTAGTATATATATATATTTTTGATATATATATATATATATATGAAAAAAGATCTAAATTAATCATCTAAGTGCCTACTTTTTTAGGAAACTAAAAAAATGATGTCCAAAGTAAGCAGAAGAAAAATAGTAAAAATTAGAGCTAAATAAATAAAATTGAAAACAGAAATAAATAAAGAGAAACAATGAAACCAGAAGTTGGTTTTTGAAAAGATGAACGAAATTCATAAGTTTTTAGCCAGGTAAATAAGAAAAAAATATACAGAGAATAAAAATTACAAATATAAAATCAATGAGGGAAGATAACTACAGAGCCTATGGGCATTAACAAAAATAATAAAGAAATACTATGAACAACTCTAAACCCACAATTTGATAACCTAGAATAAATGAACCAATTTCTTAAAAGATATAATCTGCCCAAAGTCACACAAGTAGCAAGACAACTGGAATATGCCTATGTCTATAAAGAAATTAAATCAATACTTAACCTTCCAAAACAGGAAACACCAAGCCAAGATGGATTCACTGATAAATTCTACCAAACAGGTAAGGAAGAAATTACACCAATATTATTCAATCTCTTCCAAAAGATAAAAGCAGTTCCTAACTCATTCTATGAAGCCACGTTGCCCTGATAATGAAATCAGACAGAGGCATTTTCAGAAAAGGAAACTATAGACCAATATCTCCATAAACATATATGTATAAATTCTCAGCAAATTATTACCAAATAAAATTCAACAATATATAAAGAAAATAATAACCACAACCAGTGGCATTTATCTTGGTTGGCAAGGCTGGTTATGCATTAAAAAAATCAATTTAATGTAATTTATCACACCAACAGGCTAATGAAGAAAAATCACACTATCATGTTAATTGATGCAGAAATGTTATTTGGTAAATAACGTTTATCACCTATTTATGATAAAAACTCCCAGCAATTTAGAAATAGATGGGAACTTCCTCAACTTGATAAAAAAAAAAATCTAAAACAAGCCTAAAACCAATATACTTAATGGCATAAAACTAAAAGCTTTCCTATAAAGAATAAGAATAAGACAAGGATATTTGCTTTTCCCACTCCTTACTTAGACTAGGTGTCTAAGTAAATGCAGTAAGACAAGAAAAAGAAATAAAATATGTACAAATTGTGAAGGAAGAAATAAAACTGTCTTTGTGTCGAAACCGGTTTGGCTCAATGGATGAAGCATCGGCTTGGGGACTGAAGGGTCCCGGGTTCGATTCCGGTCAATGGCATGTACCTTGGTTGAGGGCATATCTCCAGTAGGGGGTGTGCAAAAGGCAGCTGATCGATGACTCTCTCTCATCGATGTTTCTAGCTCTCTATTTCTCTCCCTTCCTCTCTGTACAAAATCAATAAAATATATTTTTTAAAAAAGTCTTTGTTCACAGATGGCTTGATTGTCTATGTAGAAAACACAATAGAATTAATTTTTAAAAAATACATTTTATTGATTTTTTACAGAGAGGAAGGGAAAGGGATAGAATCGATGAGAGAGAAACATCGATCAACCGCCTCTTGCACACCCCCTACCGGGGATATGCCCGCAACAAAAGTACATGCCCTTGACCAGAATCGAACCCAGGACCCTTGAGTCTGCAGGCTGACGCTCTATCCACTGAGCCAACCCGGTTTCAGCAAATAAAATTAATTTTTGAAACTTCTGGAATTAATAAGTAATTTTAGCAAGGTTGTAGAATATACGGTTAATATGCAAATGTCAATCTTTTTCCTATATACCAAAAATGAACAAGTGGAATTTGAAATTTAAAACATAGTAACATTGTCCTAACCAGTTTGAGTCAGTGACTAGAGCATCGACCCTTGACTGCAGGGTCCCAGGTACAATTCCAGTCAAGGCTTGATCAGATGATTACTAATAACATATACTGAGAAAGATATTGTTATAAGGATTCATTGAGTATAAGCCCTATGTTAGACATTCTAGTAGATGTAAATTTTCATTTAATTTTCCCCAAAACTCTATAAAATGGGTATTATTACTTACATTTAAGGATGAGTTGTGCTCGCTAAAGTGAGACTCTGAGTGTCTAATTTCCCAGTATCTCATAAACATTAAAAATTAAACTTGATTTATAATCCAATCTTGCTGTTCCCAATGTTTTACTTTTTCTATATTCCTTTACTTGCACAGAGAATAATAATACCAATACCAATACCTTTAATAATAATTAAAAAAAAACTGTTTCCATTTATTAAAGTGGTATAGAAAGTAACAATCTATTCTGTCTATTGTATCTGTAGTGGATCTGAACTCTATTAATTGGGTTATTTTATCTATCATTCAACTCTGCATTTAAATTTGCCTTTATTGGCCGAAACCGGCTTGGCTTAGTGGATAGAGCGTCGTCTGCGGACTGAAAGGTCCCAGGTTCGATTCCAGTCGGCATGTACATTGGTTGCAGGCACATCCCTGGTGGGGGATGTGCAGGAGGTCGATGTATCTTTCTTATCGATGTTTCTGGCTCTCTCTAGTCCTCTCCCTTCCTCTCTGCGAAAAATCAATAAAAATAAAAAATAAAAAACCTTTCTGTTTAAAAAAAATTATTTTAAAAAATTTTTTTGCCTTTATTTCCATCAACCTCAATTCTGTCTTCTTAACATTGTAAAATGAAATACTATAAGGAACAAACCAACCATCTTTTTGGTTTTTACAAGTTTATTTTGAAAACACCATGTATCTTTTTTTTTTTTTTAATATATTTTATTGATTTTGTACAGAGAGGAAGGGAGAGAAATAGTTAGAAACATCGATGAGAGAGAGTCATCGATCAGCTGCCTCTTGCACACTCCCTACTGCGGATATGCCTGCAACCAAGGTACATGCCCTGGACCGGAATCGAACCCGGGACCTTTCAGTCCCCAAGCCGACGTTCTATCCATTGAGCCAAACCGGCCTTGGCTGAAAACACCATGTATCTTAAAAAAATTATTTTCAAAACAGAAGTATCAAAATCATACCAATCTCTAGGAGCTGTAAAGAGAATATCTATAAAGTAAGTACAAATTCTTAGAAAAAAAGTGCTCAGTTTCAATCAATGACCATCCAAATACTTTTTTGACAATCCTTGCCATGTTCCTGGGGGCCAATATCACATAACATTTCAAAGTAGGATGAGCAGGGCTAGCTTCTGACTTGCATAGGAGACTTTTCATTACGTCTCAGGGATAGCGCCAAAGGAGATGGTATTATTGAATCCACAACAGTGTTCCCGGGGAAACTAATGACTCAGCACAATGCTAGTTGATAGTTGGCCAAAAGAGATGCCATATTTCAATTGAGATGTCAAATATAAGCTCAATATACTGGCTTAGTCACCAAGATTAAGTCTTGCCTTCAGGTCTTAGATTACCCTAATTTAATGGTCTTTCTTCATCTATAATCTTTTCCATAGACCGCAACTCTATTTCTTTTCAATATTACAATAACCCAGTCATCATGAAAACAGCTACTATATTAAATTCATTCTGGAGAATTATATTGACATCTGTAACTAAAATGATTAGACATTGGAAAAAAGAATTGGTCAATGTATACAAAATCAATTTGATGATTGTCTTAATCCGTTAAAAGTTCCACTGTTAAAAAAAAAAAAGAATCAAAAAGAACAATCAAAAACAAATCTGATGGAGGAGAAGGTAGATTCTGCATGAAAATATATTTTTTCCTCCAATTAAAACTAAAGACTGCTTCTATGATAAAGACTACAGAGTCTCAGTACTGAACCAGACATTGTGATCTCCAC